TTCCTTTGTGAGAGACAAACACTATTCCCTGCCATTCATCCCATGTACATCCAGATCAGTGAGAAAAAGAAGTGAGGCCTCACTCACCTTATGGCCAGGAGCTGCCCCCCAGAGCAAGACCCTTGTCCCAGTCTCTTACCTACCACTGAGCAGCCCCGAGCCAGTAACATGCTCTGGGCACATCCTGATGCCAGTGTTTCTTCCCTCCACGTAGGAATTGCCTTAGAAGATCCATGTCCATTTTGCAATGAGCAATTCAGGACTTCACTGGCATGTTGCTTTTCTGTGCCAAAAATTGTCAGGGCTTCATCACACAACGTGTATCCCACGGCACCAAGGAGAGGAACGGCAGTTTTGCTTAGCTGAGACATTCAGCGGGAGGGAGAGTGGGATTTTCCAAAGGAGGGCAGAGCACAGCTAGAAATAACTGCCTTTAAAGTGGTGACATTTTTATGCATGGAAGAGCTAACTTAGAGCATTTTTAGAGGTTTTTATAAATCCCGCTGAGCCCAGTGCAACTGGATTCATCATATGAGGCACCTGTTTTACGGGGAGGAGGTATACAAGCAATAACCGACTATACAGTTTTTGCACTCTCTCAAAGTTTCCCTAAATAACTCTTTTCATAACCACAGGTAGGATATGCAGAAAGCGTGATGAAACCCAGAAAGTTTGGCTGGTTTTGCGTTGCTCTCTTTGCAAGAGAAATGTAGGCTGCTTTTAAAGAATAATTCTAACAAAAAAAGCTCTAATATTCTCTTACGTGCCCTTTCTGCGTTCATGGGTGTGTCTTAATATCAGCAATTAAGTTTTGCAAAACAATAAGCCCCCTTTTTGTCTTTCAACTCTCTGAAATGGAGCTGCCAGGAGCTTTTGGATTAAGCTTTATCAGGCTTCAGTTAGGAAAGCCTCATGGAGGTTACGTAGCCAAATACAACATACAAATCAAATTATGGGAGAGATGAATGCAGAGTTGTTAAATTAATTTTGTTTGTTCCAGCCCATTGGAATGTTTTTAACATGAAGAAAATAATTCTCTGCTGTATGGCTGGCCTGCCCAGTGCTTAGGGCTGTATTAGCATGCTGAGTTTGTCTGCCAGTGGCAAACAGGTTTTCTCCAGGCTTGAGTGAGCCCTGGAAGATGAGGCTGGCCAAAGTGCTGGCTTGCCCCCTGCCTTCCCCAGTGGGCTGATCTGCAGAGCTCCTGGGCAGCCCCACACATGGCCAGCAGCTGGAAGAGCCACTGAGGCTGCCCTTTGTCAGGTCAGAGGGCTTCCTCCAGATGCACCCGCACAACCATCCCGCCTCTGCAGGACTTTTCCATGATGCAGGAGCCAGCTTGTTGGCCAGGTTCTCCCAGTTCAGGTCATCTCTGACAGGAAGGTGAGGTGGGTTTTTTCACTCCAAGAGGTCCAGGGCATGTCTCACTGCCTGCAGTGAGGCATTCCCATGTTTAGTGCCTCTGAGATGTGGCCCTGTGGTCCCAAAGTCTTGGCTTGGGGGTCTGCTAGCCCTGGACATATTGGCTTTGGTATCCTGCTATAGGCCTGTGCAGAGCCAGTTCAGATATCTGCTCAGGATTTCACTACACCACAGAAAGATATCCTGAAGTCCCCTACAATATTTTGTTCTCCCTTAGGATATGAATTCAGAAGAAAGCATTAGTAATATTATTTCTAAAATTAGCTGAGATGCTATTTTAGTGTGAAATGATGCTGGTTGTTGAGTTTGGTTCTCTTTTTTTTCTCAAGCAATCATGAATTCACAGATTTTTTTTGCTTATTAAGCCTGGTTTTATAAAAAAAGAAGGAAATTAAAAGAAAAGCTTGTGTTTCTCTTTAGTGTGTCCTGATTAAGCTTCCCCCTCCCTGCCCCAACCTCTTCCTCCATTTCTATCTGTCCTTTAGCTGCATATTTTGCAAAATCAGTAGAGGTCCTTTAGCATCTAAAAAAAAAAAAAAGAAAGCAGGAAGTCTGTGATTCTTTTAATCTTTCAAAAATCCAAGGCACAGAGAGTATGGAAAGGAAAATTAGATCTCTGGGAAATGCTAGTTGTTTTATAGATGGTCAAATCATTACACTTTTTTCCTTGCCTTTCAGACGTTGACTATGTTACTATGTATCACTTTAATTAAATCATCAAATTGAATTACTGGATCAAATGTTTTTTTATTCCATTGTGTCCTAAGCAGGTTTGGTTAAATTAATAAAACCATATGTTTCATTTAAAAAAAAAAAAAATTTCTTTTTTGTCCATTCATAAGCTGTTAAAAAAAAATGTGGCTGAACAGAGCAGGTCGGTTATTACTTAATTACATCAAGTGCCTTGCAGTAATTTGAACAAAGTCATACTAAGTCATGAAAATTTTGTAATATTTACTGTGAAATAGCAATATTGTAAATTCAGCCTCATTTTAGCTGGCTGTGAATGAGGCTTGACCTCAGTGAACTCATTGGGGTCACTCAGGTGCTTAGAAGTGCTTATGACCTTCTTGGATCAGGGTGCAGGGTCCGGGAGGGTCTCTCAGCTCTGAGTTTGCGAGTCTCCTGTTTACCCTTGGGAAATACCCACTTCTCTTCTCTGACTGGCACGAGCTATTCCAAATGGCATCAAAGCCAGTGGCATGTGACAGCCCCCTCTCCCTCGAGTGGCTTGGGGTCCTTGTCTGCAAATCAGCCTCCCAGCCATCGTTCAGAGGGCTATTGCAATTAAGGTAGATCTCTCTGTCTCTCGGGAAGGTTACCTGCTTGAATTATTTCTAAAACAATTTGTTGCATGATTACTTTAAATATATAAATCTCTGCATGTCCTCTTGGAGGACAAGGACTGGATAAGGGTTTTAGATCTGGGTAGTCCTTCACCCAGGCTCCTTATCACTGATGGGATTTGATTAGGTGGAGCGATAAAGGCTGGCCTGGCATTTTGAAGTGTAATTCTGTGATGACAAAGGGCGTCAAAGGGGGCAGTTATGATTTATTGGTGCAGTTATCAATAAACAGTGATGTCAGTGAGAATTGATCTGACTATCTCAGTGGAAAGAGGTGAGCATGGAGAGGCATACCAAGAATCAGGAAGCTCTCTGAATAATGATAACAGCAACTGCTTTCAGCTGTGCCCTCTTGTCCAGGTCCTGGCCACCTTCACACTGTGCTCTGCAGCATCCTGGCTCTGTGGGCTCCCTGCAGACCAGGAGGGAGCCAGAGGGAAGGTGTCTGCAAGCAGCAGACCGTGGTCTGGCTTCTGGCTTTGTGGCATTGACAGCAGAATGCTGTCTTGATCCCTTCAACTCTGTGTAAATAGAAACTCATAAAGGTTTTCTCAACAGTTTGAGGTACTGTAGGGCTTGTTTGCTTTGCTGGATCATCCTTCTCAGTTGAGCAGAAGGATCTACTGCAAAACTGCAGGATTGTCACCCCTCATGGCAAGAGCAAACATCAAAGATCTTTCCTTTCCAAAGAGTATTTCTGCAATTTTCATTGTCTGTTTCAGGCTGGCTACAAATGTGAGCTATAAGTGGACAAATGCATTTCACAGATATTTTTCTATTGTACTAGTATTGGTGTTTAAAGCATGTAATCATTTTTATTTAAGAACTGTAGCTGTTTCAGTAATGTAACAGCAGAGCTGCATGACCAACCTGCAAGTCCAGGCATAGGAATAGACATTTCTCCCCTTCAGTGCTGCCAGGACTCTTTAGAAGTGAAATAATGGCCAAATATACACGCAGTCAAATACCTGCAGAGTGCAAACAAGCTCAGTGTGTTGGCTTGAAATGGAAAAGTCGCATTGGGAAAAATAATTCTGCAAACAGTGTCAGCCTGATGGGCTGGGTGACACTTTGCCTTTCCCTGGCAGAAGAGATCATTTCCTTTGCCACGGCACATGTGCTTAGGTATCATTGCAAGTGATTTTTTTCTTGGTTCAGCGTTTATATTGGGAAAAAGAATGTGAGAATCTGCCCTGAATTGGGTATTTTAAATGTGATTTTTAAAGCTTGGAAAAAAAATCTCAACTCTTTATAGCTGAGAAGGGGATGATGTATTTTTCCCATAGCATGTGAGTGCCATCTAGTGTTGTGCATCCCCACCCGGCCCTTCCATGGCAACACCTTGAAAAGTGGTTTTTGTTTCAGCAGCCGTGAGGGGACTGTGCACACCCTACTCCTTGAGTGGATGGGTTGGGTTTGCACCTGGGCTTGGTCTCCCCTGCAGAAGTTTTGGGTTTGGTGCTGCTGCAAGCTGTGTTTTTCTCACTGGTTAAGCTGTTCCGATGTTGATGACCCCACTAATTTAAGTGTGGGTGAGAAGTGACTTGTGTCCTCCCACTGTAGGCAGAGTTAGGAAGGCAGGGCTTTCAGAGGCTGGCTGGGGGTTCCTCCCCTGCTAGGAGGAGACGGCCAAGGCCATCAAGAACCACTCTTTCCTGTGCTAGCAATACATTACTGGCAAACAGTTGAGCACCTGTGAAGGAAAATACATAGAAAGAAGAGTATTAAATAACTTCTGTCATATGTAAAAATGTACTCGGTTAAGAGGAAAATAATTACTGACCCAATAGTGTTACATTTTCAGAGGTTTCAACTCTTTCCAGGGCCAGCAGAGTACACTGGGGTATTAACCCCTTACAGCAGGAGTGCATGGATGAGGGCATGGATGAGGGAAGCTGTGGATCAGGTCGACTGGACTTCTTAATGTTCCAGTGTAGAGCTCTTAAGTCACAAAGTTAAAGTGTGTGTACAATGTCAGGACTGAAAATAAGTCGAGAACTAAGCAACCTGCCTGCAGAGAATGGATTCTCTCACTCACTTTACTCAGGAGAGCAGAAAGCATCTGCAGGTGGTATTAAATCCCATGGTCTCAGTGGATTGCAGTCTAAGCTGTTACTGTAGGCAAGGGCATTAAAGAAAAAAACCTGGCTCTTAGAGCGAGGCACAGGTCTTCCTGTTTGTTTTCTTTTGGTTATTTAGGAGAGTTTCATCTTTTTTCCTTCTGTGTTTCAGCTTGCAGTACTCCTCCAGTGAACATGAAAGTGCAGCCTGTGAACAGGACGGCGTTACTGGTAACCTGGAACCAACCAGAAACCATCTACCACCCTCCGATCATGAACTACATGATCTCATATAGCTGGGCTAAAAATGAAGATGAAAAGGAGAAGACTTTCACCAAGGACAGTGACAAGGACCTGGTAAAAGCACAGCATCAAACACAGACATATGTATCAAGCTATCCTTATATTGTTATTTTCTTGGTAGAAGGAGGTAGAGGAGGAAAGCAGTTGTTGCCTTATAGACAGGCTAGTGTTTGACTCACAGTGAATTGCTATTTAAATGTTCAGCATTAGTTGAACATTGCTGAACAGGCCACCCCAAACACTGGACTGTGTTTTTATAGTTTACATGAGTGCATAAAGGACTAAATCTGCAGACACCTTTTCATATACTGTTGCTGAGAAGCAGCTGGCTCGGGAAATGTTAAGGCTCTGAATATTACAGATTTTTGCATTAAAAGTCCAGTCCCCCCAAAATCTGTTCCTGGGCTCAGGCTTTTTACTGTGCATAGCCCCTTGCAGTCTTTGGAGCAGCTTCTGGCAGTAAGGGCTGCCAGAGGCAGGAATGCATAGTCAGGGCTAGAAGATTATTGTGGAGTGGCCCTATACAAGCACTGCCTACATCTGGCAGCCTGAGAAAAAGAGGGAAGAGCAAGACAGTTCCAGCACAGATGGAAACACTGCTCTATCTCCTCCATTTAGAATTTCATCTGCTTGTCATTCTTGTCTAAGTGGAAGCAAGTATTGTACTGGTCCTTAACATTCTCTGCATATAAAATCAAAGTGACATATTCAGGTTTGAAAGGCCTCCATTTATTGTTAATCAAAGAAAGCCTCTAGAATAATGAAATCAGTAATTGTATATGCACATGAAAAATGCAGCAGCACACTGTTATTCCTAATGACTGTTACCATTTTTTTTTCAAATACACAGTCCTCTGGGCCCATTCAATCAGTTATACAATAATACTTCTCTTATTCCCTTAGATGAAGATTCTTTTACTTCATTTCCATTTATATTTTCAATTTCCCCACTAGACATTGTTATCTGGGTCACATTAGGGAACGATCTGCCTCACAAAATCAGAAAGGAACCTATTGAAAGACACCCAAGGTTATGATGTATTGTAACCTCTCTCTTGCCATAATTTCACACTCTTAAGGGAGATTTTTTTTTTAATCAGGTATAAGGAGGAAAGCCTTAATCAGCAAAAATGAGGTTTGCACCATGAAAGCATCCTGTTTTATATAAAAGAAATAATTAAAAGTGCAGGGGATGTGATGGAGTGATAGCCTGGAAATGAATTGCAGTGAGACCCTGTGCTGTTCAGCAGAGCTCGGAGGTTAAGAAAGCAATGACAGCTTAGTCTGTTTTAGGGGCAAGAGAAGAAGGAAACCCTTTTTCAGAGGAAAGTGCAATTTGTTTTCAGTGCTCTGGCAGATACAGTTGGGCTGTCCCATCTTGAATCAGAGCTAGGCAGTGTTTAACTAAGGACATCACGGGTATTTCAAGTGATCCACACAGCTACTGCTGTGAACTGATGTGATTGTGAACCAAGGCAATACAAAAGAGTTTCTGGAAAGCATCAGAGCAGTCTCTCAGATCTAGGAGTAAGCAGGGATATCCCAGCCCAGGATGCTGAGCCATCATGTTGTACACACCAGCATCAAATTGCCATAGCCAGTTTGTTGCAAAATAAGGTCAGTTTGAACATTCAGTGACTTTTCTGGGCTTATCCCATGTTTGGGATATGGATCTCCACCTATAAAAGTCTTATTTTAATTCCTGTAAGGTTGAATGATTTAAACTTTAAGTTTTTCTGAGGAAAGCAGAGACTTTCAGGCATGAAGACTGTCATGAGAATAGATGTGGGACATGTTCATTTATTTCTCTTGGGCAGAGTCTGGGTGCATCCCTTTGGCCTTGGGCCTTGCCCTCTCCCAGGGGACCAGTGAATATTTCTGTTTAGAAATATAGTTTGTCTTACGTGGCATAAATGTCCTGTGTTAGCTCAATGCTTTATATATCAAACTGATCGTGGACAGTACTGTGGGGGTAAAAAACTGAATAATATCTATTTTTTTTAAACAGAAGGCCATCATTAGCCATGTCTCACCTGACATCCTTTATCTGTTCAGAGTTCAAGCAGTTTGCCGAAATGAAATGCGTAGTGACTTTAGCCAGACTATGCTCTTTCAAGGTAACAAAACCACATACCTATTTTTATATTAAACGATTGTTTGTTTCATATTTTCTTTTCACAGTGCAATATGGTGTGAAATGATTTCAGAAGATGTTTGAGTGCATGTAGACAATACTAATTTCAGATTAGTGGCCAGTGACTTAATCTGAATCACATTTCTGGTGATGAGGGTTTGTCTACACCTCTCTGCTGGCAGGGTTTGTCAGGTTTTAGGAGAATTCAGAGCTTTTCTTGGTGCTAGTTTTCTCAAACAAATTCATCAGAGACTGCTTATACATCAGAGGCACAGCTATAGCAGAATGTGAGTCTGATCGGTGTCTGTTTTATGTAAAGAGGAAAGGAGATCAGTCCTACCTTGACAACCACACGTGGAGACGCTCAGGTTTTACCATGCATACAACCTCAGTGATTTCCAAAACATACATATTTAAAGGAAATCAAAAGTACTAGATGCTAAGCTGTCCTTTGTCATGAATTTCCTTTTAAGTTTATTGGAGAAATCTGGTAGTGCTGAGATTTGGTAGAAGAACTTGAAGTTTTTAGAGCTTTTTTAAGTGCTGAAGTTTTGCTCCTTCCTGGGAATTTATTACTACATTTTTTACTAAGTAGGGCAAAATTTACCTCTGCTGAGAGCATTCCCTCCCACTCCAGCTTACGGATACATAAATCCTGTAATGGGCAACAGAAGAATAAAACAAGCGGAGAGTTAAACATTTAAATCTTTAAGATGAAGAAAGGAGCTGTCACTTGGATCCGATGCTGTATAGGGAACAAAATAATAGCAACGTTTTTCTGTGTCATTTTTGGAAAATTGGGGGTGGGGTGAGTTAATCCTACTCTGTTAGCATGTAGTATCTGAAGGATATGAAGCTGTGGACACAGTTTGCTTCTGTGGCGGTGTCCTGCCACAGTGTTACCAGCATTGCAGGGACAGCAGGGGTCAGACAAGAAGTGTCCTATCCAACCCACATCTCATATGTAGCTCTCTGTTCTTAGTACCTCAGCAGTGTTTTGGATTTGACTGTAAGTGCCAGGCAGAAGTCAGAAACTGGTATGTTGCTGATTATGACCTCTTTCAGCAGATGACAGAATGGAAAAATTCTTTGAAATTTGACCATGATACCTGTTTAATCACAGTTAGGAGTAAGTCATTACTGACAGCTTTGTTGGATATTCTTGGGGCACTCTAGCCCAGTTCTAGCCCAGTGTTCAAAGCAGTGGAAGTGATTCATGCATCTGCAATGGGAGTAGATGATGTGATTCCTTCCATGTGTCCCCAAAAAGGATCTGCTGTTCTAATCTCTGGCAGTAACCAAGATCTAGAAAATTAATCCACGTGATCTTTCAAAACATTATGCAGAGCTTAATCATGGTTGTAGTTGAGATATATAGCAATAAATAATAATGACAGAAAAAACTATTAATCATCAGCTACTCTCGCTTCCCGTGTAAGTCAGGGTGTTTCATCCAGTTTGAGATTGAAGGACAGAGTGCGTTTTCTGACAGTGCACTTAAACTGGCACTGCTGGGCCTGACTTAAAGTCAAGCAAGTCTGTCTTTAGGCACATGTACAAAGTAAGGTGAGTAATGCCAAACGAGCTGAGTTGCTTTTGCTCCAAACTGAGACCTGCATCCATTTTGCAGCAGCGTGTTCAGCAATTGCTCAGCAGTTGTATCATTGCCTCCCTTCCCAACCTGCTGACACGCTGCTCTTCTTCCTCCCTCAGCTAACACCACTCGAATTTTCGAGGGGACCAGAATTGTGAAGACAGGAGTGGTAAGTCGTGGATTTGGGGAGCTGGGATTTGGGGACATTCCCACCAGGTGGCAGCACGGTGTTGGAAATCTGTGGCAGGACCCAGCTTTCCTGGGGAGGGGAGTGTTTAGACCCACCACAGAAGGATTTATAACATACAATATATTTCCAATATGAAATATTGAAAGGGGTTTGGTTTTCTAGCTTCATGCTCTGAGGGGCTTTGACTACTGAAGAATCGAGTGTTAAAAAAATCTTTCCAAATCTATATTCAACCCATTTAGATGGGATTTGTAATTTTAATGATAACTGTGAAAATAAATTTAATTTCTTTTATTAATTGTATGACCAGAAGTATATGCACCAGGAATAAGGCCTCACACACAACATCTTTACTCTTCCAGTGCTCTAAGGATACCTGTTATTGTGTGAATAAAGCCTCAACAATCTCTTTATTTGAATTTTAATTCACAAGGCAACTTTTGTGTTCCAGAATCAGAAATGTTGGTACATTTACAGTAAAACTGGAATACACTGTTTCAGTTTTGAAAGCATCTTATTAGTTTATTTAACATAAACTATCCATAACCTAAATTTCTTGGCATTCGGTGTACTGAATTGTTCAGTCAAATTTATGGACTGGATTCATACTATTGAATTTACTCTGAGTACATTGCTTCTGGTTTTACTCTTTTCCAGTTTGATATGCTCCCTAGTAAGCAAATAACACATACAAAGCTTGCATTTGAATGATTAATGTTTGTTTAATGATGTATAGAGGTATTCTAGACATATAAAATCTGCTGTCAAATTTTAATACTCAGTCCAGCTTTGAGACTGTTCATGCCAGTGAAAAGCAAATCTCACAGTGCCGGAGGGATTCACATTGATAAGTATCTGAAAGTTTAGATGCTTATTTAAAGTTTTGGCTTGAAATCTCTAAAGCACGGCTTTTCATCTGAGATCTCAGGTTCTCTGTGATTGCAGCTGGTCAAAAATAACGTGAGAAAGCAGCCTTTCTTGGTTTGCTGCAGCATTTCAATTACATGGCCTGACTGAACCTAGGAATTGCAGAGAGATGCAGAAATACTGTGAAGTTATACATTTCAGCTTCAAAAAGAAACATTTTACTTTTTTAAAAAATGTTCAGTAGCACCTATTTAACCCTTGTTTGTACTCATCTGATGTGTACCTTTCCAGCTACTGGTCCTCCCGGTCATGAATTGTGTAATGTGAGACATTTTTCAGTAAATCAGAGAGGGTGGTCAGGTTGTCCAGGCAGAAATGCTGGCTCAGCTCTTCCAGAGAATTATTCCTTGTGTTTAGTCAATTCACTTCAGTGTCTTTTTCCACATGTGATTCAGGAAAGGGAATGACTAGGTCCTTATGTATAGACCAAGGTTTAGTTCTTTATGTATATACCAAGGGGTTTTGTTTCCAGTAGAGCACACATGTGTGCACAGAGACCTGCATGCAAGCATGTGTGCAGTGGGTTGACATTAGAATAACAGTGGCAGGGGGCAGAGGATGCAAAGTCTATAGCTCATTCTCTGGTTCCTCTCAGCTCCCTGAGGGAAGTGGGCAGTGTCAGGCCTGGCTTTGGGTTGCTGGTGGCGGCCAGGGAGAGTCCTGTGGTTGTAGAAAACTGAGTCTATACATGAGTGTCGCAGTCTGGTGGTCCTGGCAGAGGTAGTGGTGGCTTGCTAAAGGGCTCCTGATGCTCTCCAAGTGCTTCATGACTGCCCAGCTGGCCATGCTGCTGGTCTTTTCTAATGAGAGTGATGCCTCACTGCAGCACCAGTCCTTAGGAGAATAATGCTGATGGGTAAATTAATGAAATAAAAATAGTACCATTGGAGGGCCTCACAATGTGTGTGGGAAGAGCCAGAGTTCCTTGTCAGAACAGACCCACCAGCCACGGATGCTCGCGTTGGCAGCACAGCCATTATTTTGAGACAGCCCTTATGTAATAGTGTATTTTTAAACTTCTGTATTCTGAGGATTAAAGCACTGTGAGTAATGCAGCTAAACTCATTAAAATCCTTTACATTCTCCTCACACCGAGAGGAAACGTTACTCACAAGTCAACGGTGACGTGGGTGGAGAAGGTCCCGATGTAAAATAAAGATAAGGATAAAGAGGGTTTTGATGATGGTGTGGTGAATTCAGAGAGGTTTCTTCCCTTCGTGGTTTGCTGGTAGCTCTGTGGCTTTTCCTGTCCTGGCTCAGCCCTGCATCCAGCTGGTGCGAGTCTTTGGCTTTAAGAGAACAGCAACCAGAATGGCACATGTGTTGAAAGGGAGGGAAATGCAAAAGAAAAATGACCCCCAGGTAGGATGTTGGGCCCCTGCTGATGCTCTCTGCTGTGTTTTCTTCCCCTCTGCTGCTGGTGACCTCCTCAAGCCCACGGCATCTCCTGCCTCCTCAGCTGACATGGCTCCCATCAGCTCTGGCTCCTCCACCTGGACCTCCTCGGGGCTCCCCTTCTCCTTCGTGTCCATGGCCACAGGGATGGGGCCTTCCTCCAGTGGCAGCCAGGCCACCGTGGCCTCAGTGGTAACCAGCACCTTGCTGGCAGGGCTGGGCTTCAGCGGTGGTGGCATCTCCTCCTTCCCCAGCAGCGTCTGGCCCACCCGGCTGCCCACGGCGGCCGCCCCCAGCAAACAGGCGGGACGGCCCGTGGTGGCCACCACCGAGGCCGCCGCCGCCTCCCCGGGGCCGGAGCAGGACTCGGCACTGACCAAGGATGGCGAGGGAGCTGAGGAGGGGGAGAAGGATGAAAAGAGTGAAAGTGAGGATGGGGAGCGGGAGCACGAGGAAGAGGAAGAAAAGGATGCTGAAAAGAAGGAGAGAGACAGGGCGACAGCAGCCGCGGAGGCGCGCAATAGCACAGAGCCCAGCGTGGCCGTGGCTTCCCCCAACCGGACTGCTGAGGAAGAAGGAAATAAAACCATATCGGGTGAAGAGCCAAACCAAAACGTTGCCCCTGCGGCTGGAGGTCCCAAGGAGGAGAGTTTGGATGAAGCCAACACTCAGCCCCAGCCGCTCCCTTCCACCCAAGTGCCACCAGCGTTCACCGATGAACTGTACCCGGGCAAGATCCCAAGAAGACCAGAGACTACAAGAAAACCTCCTCCAAAGGAGGACAGGTTTCCAGAGGAATACCCCTCAGATAACAAATTCATTACCATTAATCCAGGTGAGTGACCTCCAGGGAAAACTGGTTTTACCAACGTAAGAGTGTTGGAAAATGACACAATCTAAATTCCTTACTGATTTCCAGGAGATACAACATTTCTGTGGTGCTTGACTTCATCCAGTGGGCAGGTTGTCACAGGACTCAATCCTCAAATTGTTACTGGTGGGGAGCAGAGGGGGAAGGAACATCCTTTTCTTTTATTAGGACAGATTCATGGTCCTTGTAACTTACCACAAGAGAAAATTTGCAAAAATGTTAACTCCCAACATGCTGCATCAAGAATTTTGTTTAAAAGAAAAAGGGAGAGAAATTCAGTGAACCATAGCTGTGAAATTAATTTGGAAGATTGGCTGCTGTGCCAAACTGGTGTTTTGTGGGAAGTTTGCTATATATGCTGCAAGCTAATTTATTTTATCTGCAGGATTCTCCCTGATTGGGCTTTGAGATATTCTCCCAAATATGGGAACATTGCTGCTTTATTTCTCATCACGAAACCTACATGCTTTGATCTTCCAAAACAAGGCACCTTCTGCACTGGAGTTACTTTCTTTTTTTTCCTGTGGGAAGGACAACTCTTAGCCAGGCAGAGTTCACATATTTTGTCCTGATGAGAATTACCAGTGCTCCTGTACACACCAGCTCTGGGTGTATGTACCAACTCCACAGTATATACACAGCAAATACAACCTTTTGGAAGCCTGCCCAGGTGATCTGCATGTGCACCAAGCCCAGTGTGGTCCGGGTTTGCTGCACAGGCCTATGCAAACAGGTATCTCATGGTGCTACCAATGTGTGGAATGTCCACACATGTTTCTGCTCAGGGAGCTCCAGGCACTGGTGAGGAAAACAGCAAGGAGCAAATGGAGTACATATGTGTGGATTTATTTGCAGAGTAAGTACTGGGATTTAGATATGGTGACGAGTTTATATGAGTGATTATGTGTATTACCACAGCATTTATAAGATAGTGTGCTTTTTTTTGTTTGGGGTGGGGTTTTTTACTGTATTGTTTATTTTGGTAATCTTGCAGTGTTTTGTAATTTTCTTTTTCCATCAAAGCTGCTCTAGAGTACTGTGAAAAAACCTTGCATATTTATTTTTCCCTACACTGATAAACACAAGAATGCAGACATTGTGCACTCAGTTATAGCTCGGAACCAATTTAAAAAACAAAGCTAAATCCAATCTTTAATAACATTTGTTACAGAAATGCTGACCTGACTCTAACGCTGTGAATCATAACTGTTCTGCAAGAGATCAGATTAACAATGCAAGACAAGAAACTTGCACCCAAATTGTGCTGATATTTTTAAAATACAATGCTGTTTTTCTTACTCCTCAGCTGGAAATCTTCAAAGTCCAGTGCTCCCACTGAACATGGTCTGAGATGCCTGTCAGGAAGCTTTCAACCTGCCACTTGCCCTAATCACCTTTCTGTCAGGAAGGAGGGAACTTTGCCATGTTAGGAGTAAGCATTCAGCACCACTTAGGTTCAAAGCCCAGCAATTCAATCTGCCTGGGTAAACCTGCTTCTGAAATAGTTCTTCCTGCCTTTGGCTTCCTTATTTCTCATGTGCCAGTTTCTTGTATGGCCCAAGTACAATGTCTCTTATATAAGACCTACAAAGGGCCTCATGGCTTGTTCTCAGCCTAAAAAAATGGAAAAAAAGACGAGTAGTTGGCCTTAATTCTTAGCTTGTGACAAAGAGATTGTTAACAATTCCATAGTGAAGTTAAGATAAAAATATTAAAATCAATGAGATGGGGAAATATTTTTAATATTGCTAAGAAATACTTACTAGTTATTGTGAATTGTATCCCCGTAATTCTCTTTTTAGCACGCAGAGAACTATTATTGAAAGTGGTTCAGTACAGCTTTGCCTCCTACTAGACAGCCTCTTTTAGAGCTCTGCTCACTTCCAGGCTTGATGGCTTGAAGTCACTGTGCCTGAAGACTACAACAAAGACAATCAGTTTTGAAAGTACCCTGCAAATTAGGTTTTCTGTACCTATATATGGAGGGAGGATAACTTACTATGATTACTGCATCTTAAAAAAGTGGCTTCCATATGTAGGAAACTATATCTGAAATTATCAGCACATGTTAGATGGCAAGAAGATAAGTGAGAGTTTCCTGTTTCCTCCAAATTAACCTTAGTTAAATCATAGTTAAACCTCTGGCGACCTACCTAAGATGAGGAGAAGGAGCTGCACCATTTTTTCAGCTTCCCAGACAAGCCTCTCCCAGATCCCTCAGTGTCCTGAAGAGGATATTCAACAGCAAAAGGGCTGGGAATGGCTATTCAGAGATGAAGAAGGGCCCATTTGTGCCAGTTTCTTGTAGTAGGGGCTCATTCCCTGTCCATGACCTCCAGGTGGAAAAATTTAGGTTGATCACAAACCTGGCGAGTCCCTGTCCGGACATTGGGAAAGGCTAATTTTTAGTGAGAACATTTTGAGGTGTTATTGGCTTTGGAATGGAGCCTTTCAGTCTGAGTCTCTTTGTACCTTCAAAGTCTCTTCAGGCAAGTCCTTCATTTCTTTTTATCTTGAGCCACCAGGCTTTGATAGGTGAGGTCTGACTAGCCTGGAATTTGCCCAAATATTTTACTAGATGTGTCCAAATACGGCCTGCCTGGCCTGTTGGCAGTGCTGCCCCTGTGAGAAGACACTTGGCAATACAGGAGAAGGAACTCTATTCCAGGCTTGATCTAGGTTACCAAAGACACAGGCTGGTGAATTAGATTAGCACAAAGCCTAAGACTAGCTGATTCAGCTTAACTGTTTTTCACAGTAGTATGGAAATTTTCAGTTTATACAGACAGACCTGACCTAGCTCCTGCCAGCTGAGTTCAGTGAAACTGCAGCCAGAGCAAGACCTCGTCTATGAGAAATGGCCTTAAAGGTTTTCCATAACAAGGTAAACCTGAAATCAAGACAAGTGAAGCCAAGAGGGCATTGCCAGAAGTGTCTGAAAGGATTTCTGAGCATCAGGACAGTTAAGAGTGTCAAGACCACTTCCAAAGTGAGCAGAAAGCACCCCTGCAGTTTACTGTGTCTCATTGTGAGGGTGGAAACATTTTTAGATGCATTTTTTGTCCTAGAAAGCAGGTTTTAAAAAGCTGTCAAGGTTTCAAAACTGTTTTTGTGAATAGAAAGTTTAATCATTTTAAAGAGTAGAAAATTGTTTCATAACAATGTACACTTGTAAAATTAATTATATAGCATCAAATTAGCAGTTGTAAGGAGATAACTAAATGGGAAAGTACTCATGAGTGTGGATGATTAGAGGAGAACAGGGAACTCATGAGAAATTACAGGGAAAGTGCAAGGCCAATTAGTACAGCAAGGCTCATTTTCTTTTAGTGCTTATTTCACACGCACATACACACACCTCTCCTGAGGCCGTGTCATTATTTTCCAAATGGCATTGGCCTCTTCTTGTCTGGTGGTATCAGCCAAGGCTGATGATTTTCTTCTGTCGCCGAACGCTTGCTTGCATTCTCCTCTTTCATTTTCCTGATCATCCTTTTCTCTGTTTTGGTGCCCACATTAGACTAATTGTATCTTTGATCTGCAACTGTTGCACACACAGCTGCTCAGCATTGTCCGTGACTCTGAAACCTGAAAATTAGAAAAACAGCAATTAGAATAATACTCTACCAAGAAAGGGGGTGGGGGGGTGAGGGAGAAGGAAAGAAAATAAAAAGCGAGGGGAAAAAATGAAAAGCTGGATGATTCAGTCTCATCAGTCTAGAGAAGATACAATCCCACGGAATTTTGGTTGTGCCAGACAGTTAAACAGATCCTTCGTTTTTGACAGAAGATAAAAACTGGGCTGTTGTGGGAAAACAGCTGTCCAGTTGGGGTTTTGCCTGAGCGGTGAGCTGGATCTGAGAACAGAAACGTGGGTTTGCCTCTTCATCCAAATTTCAGCCAGATCCCCCCATTCTTCAGTGTCACCCATTTCTTCTGAGTTCCTCCCACAAGGGGGCTTTGTAGTGACAGAGATGATGTGCAGGGTTAAATTTCAAGCCTGCTGTATGCCTTTAACAGAGACTGAATTTTGGTTTTTAGAGCAGTCTTTGCCAGGTCTGAGGTTACAAAAGCCTTTTGGGAATAACCTCATTAAGATAATTAAACATCTGTGTAATTCCTTGTTCTCCATACGCAGCAAGGATTATTAAGCTGTATTTTCATGTAGCACTTGAGCCATTTGCACACAGGATCACAGAATGGATGAGGTTGGGAGAGACCACTGAAGTCAGCTAGTCCAGCCTCACTGCTCAAGAAGGGAGCATGTTACTCAGGATTGCGTCCAGACAGCTTTTAAATATCTTCAGAGATTTACATGGCAGCTTACAGGAGGAAACAGCAGAATGGCTTGAAAATAAAAGTGAATTATTTGATGTCTGCAAACTATGAGTTTCAGATATAGGATTAAATATGATTGGCATTTGTTTACAAAGCAGTGAAAAGCCATGTTTAGCTGTGCACAGCCTGTAATTGTGAACACTGCAGGAATGCATTTAAAGAAATAGGGAAGAAATAGCTGCACAATGACATGAGCTTGTATCAAAGGTAATACATTTTTAAAAAACATGATTTTGCCTTTTTATCATTTAATAATATGGCAAATACTATTTTTCAAAATTAATTAATACCTTTGTATAAGTCCATAACTTCATTTACTCAAATGAAAGATGAGCAAGTTGACTGTCTTTTAAGAGGCCGTGTGGTCTGAGGCAGTTCAGCAGCAGGGTTTTGCTTTGGTTAATGGTATCTGTAATGGTACAACAAACAGAACTTTGTCCTGGCAGCTTGTGCAATGATGAGGAATGATAAAAGTAGATAGGTTATATAGTACAGCTATGGTTGCTTATTATAGCAAGCAGTGTTACTTAAGGGAAATAAACATGTTTCTTTTCTCAGGAACCAATTACCAAGAATTCACAGGAAAAAAAGTACATTTCACAAGTGGTAGGAGCCTCTTTCTTACCTTGACCTTTGTGCAAGAGTTGCACTGCCAGAGCTTCCCTCGCTGCCTGACGCCATCCAATACTCCCTGTGCCAGGGCTCATCCATCCAGTGCCTGGGTGGAACTGCTGAACGGGTGGTTCACAGAAGTTACGGATTTTTCCAGACGCAGGAGTAGATTTAGCAGTGCCAGGGCTTGTATCATGTGGGACCTCCCGAAACAGATATGCTGTAATAATTTTTATTCCTTCCTACTGGGATGAATTCCAAGCCAGTAAAAGGCAAACTGAATTAATTCAACGAAGGCATATGCCACTGGAAACTGTTTACATTTCTTAGCAAAAATGGAGTTTCCTAGTCCATTTTTTAAGCTTACCACCACCACCAGCAAGTACAGCTTATGGTGGGCACCATTACAAGGATATGCTGTTTGTTTAAGCTCTCTCAACACATTATTTAAGCAGTGGAAAACACCTAGGGCTTTTTCTTCAAAGCCAGCACAGGAACTGTGTCTTTTTTTCTGAAGCACATCACTGCTTGGGCATTCCCAACTGGAATTTCAGGGCCAGCCATCAGCATGCAGGAATGGCATTTGCTCTTCTGGCACTCAGCATACTGAGCACTTTCTTATCCTCACATCTGTGGTACTGGGAGTTGGCAGGGGCAGATAAGTGTGTTCTCCACAGCAGACTGAGTAAGAGGAGCATCGTGAACACTGCAGAATTTAATAGTGTGCATTGGGACTCCAGCCCATGCTGTGCTTACAATGGAATTTAATTTTCTTCCCATGCAAACAGAAACATATGTTTTTGTGTTGAAAGATGTGGAGGTGAAACTAAACAGAGTACTGTCCTTGGAGAGAACTGAAGCAACACCCTAATGGACGTAAGGTGATGGGACTACTTGGCTCTCCTATGAAGTTTTATTACATTACATGTTTTTTTTGCCTTGTGCCTTTTATCGTTCTGATTAGTAAGACTTACCTCACAGGCTTACTTTTTTCATGCTGATAAATGATTTGAAATGCACTGGTAAAAACTGATGCCTCAAGACTTATGATTTTGTAGGTTTGGCAAATACAGAGAATAAGCCTTTGCTTTAATTTTGGGGTTGATTTTTTCCTTACTCTTTCTAGTTAAGGAAATCAGAGATGTTCAGTCAAAGTGCGCGTTCAGTTCTCCCAAACACCCCTCTTATTAGCACCTCATTTAGGCTGCCTGCTAAAGGGCATTACCTCTATCAGCCTAGTTCTTAAAACTAGAAAGATTTCTTGCTGGGCTTGCAGCAGCCTGCAGCCTTGCTCTGTTTTCAGCAGTCAGGCAAAAGCATTTACAATTAACCTTTACTTCCACGTTAGTTGAATTTTACTCCTGCCTACCGAGGAATATAATCTAAATGCTATTAAAATAGAGTATGACTTCATATTATGTGACATCTGGTGACTTCCAATTATCTGTGTTTTGCCTGCCTATGGTGAAAAGGCAATTATGTTCTTCTGGTAGGATTTGCAGCAGTTTCAGAAGATATGATAATGCAATACTGAACAAGGGCAAGGAATCACGTTGGTGAGGAAAGACTCACGTAGGCTAAAAGTAAAAGTCAAGTGTGCATGTTTCAATCCTCAAAATCTGAAGCTGTTTATACTAATCCTTTGACATTATGTCCTGTTGGCAGGTATTGATCAGATACTGCCTGTTTGTTAGGAAACAGGAATAAGATAGAGAATCCTCTTCTGTATTTTTCTTCTATCATTCTGTCTAAACCAATTTATTCATCAAGTCTACACAGATTTGCACAAATTAGGTGTCTTTTGAAATACATTGGTACAGCGTCTATGCTCATTGGCTCCAGTACTTGCAGAAGCTCTAGATATTCATCTTCTATATGATACAATCATTTTAATGAGATGTCATGCAAGAAGTGAAGCAGAGTTACTCGGCCAGATCTCAGGATATTGACGAACGAACTTTAATTTCGTTCAAAAGCTGTGGCATAATGATTTCTTCTGTCGGTTACAACACATCCTATTCATTCATTCATCCACCCATCTTGACAATCCATATGCTAAAAAGTGCTTTCGTATGCAGTAACCCACCAGATTGTGACAATTCTGCAAATGATGTGACATGACACCCAACATGTTGAGGATTTTTTATTTTAAGATAGTTACCAAGAAATTTATTTCTGAAGCAAAGTATTACACTGAGCTTTGCAAACAGGGCTGTCCTGTAGTATTGAGAAACAGAGTGCATTTATCTGCAAACACTGATGACGGAGCACAGCGTTTACTTAGTTACCGTGGTGAAATGGCTCAGTGGGGTACTCCACATCTGATAATAGGTGCTTGCACAAAAGAGTCCTAAAAGTGTCTATGAGACCATAATTACAGGCAGTAGTAAAATCCAAGCCATATGTGGCAATAAACACCATACTTCTGTGCTCTCATGTCTCAGACTGAAGACAAATGGAGTCCCACCCTGCAGTTAGAGGATCTCTGCTCTGTTTACTCATACCATGTAAAATGGATAAGCTATTTGTTTTGTTTACACGTTTTTCTGTACAGTAATTCTTTTTTCCAGTCAGTGATTGGTTTTGTTATCTGTTTAACACACAGCTGGCAAGAACAGCTCCAGCATGGCCACGAGACCTTCTCCTGGTAAAATGGAATGGATCATCCCACTCATTGTGGTCTCAGCACTGACCTTCGTGTGCCTCATTCTCCTCATCGCTGTGCTTGTCTACTGGAGGTGAGCCTGTTTCCTTATCATTGGAAACTGATTATGATTTAAAACACATTTCAGGTGGTGTTTTTAATGTGGCCCTGCGGTTTTTATTTTATTGGAAGTTATGGTGCTAGATGCATTAGATAACTCTCTGGGTGCTAGAACAGCTTTGCTGGATAACTGTTCAGCTGCCTTAAGTATTGATTTTTGTGTCATGAAAATGGGCTTGGTAGGGCTCCAGCAATGGTAGAGCCAGCTGTAATGGTGACAAATATTTTCACAATTAGTCCCTCCAAAATAGCTATAAAAAGTTATCTCTGTCTTGGTCTTCAGGAAAAGTGGTTGTGGCAGAAAAGCCCAGTGAGACTGGCCTTGGTTCCATGGGTGTCTTTACCACAGACCTTTTGTGTAATCTTAAGCAGTTCTTTCCTTCCTTTGACTGCACTTGAAGTAAGGGGACTAAGCTTGTTTCACATTCCATAGGGATGCTCTGAGTCAGAATTCTTTAGCATTGGTGAGGTGTTCAGAAGTGTTGCCTGCAAGGTCTTGAAAGTAAAGATTGCCTCACACCCGTGGACATTGCTTCAGTGGTGGAGATTAGGATTAGCATCAACAAATCCATCTCCATTTGATTTAGAGTAAATTAAAACCTGCAGCACCTGCTTAAGTCAGAACCAGAACCCGAAGACACCTCATTTGTCTGGAAGTTAAAATTAACCAGGGATTAGTCACATACAAGGTATTTAGGAATTATTTGATTATGTGGGACACAGGAAAGTAGCTTTGATGAGAAATACCATCCCATTGATCATTATATTTGCAGAATCAATTTTAAAAGTACCAAGCCATTTTTCAGTGTACTCATTTCACTGACAATTAATTGACCAAATTATTGAGGCTGAGAACATTTGAAATAATTAATAAATAGATGACAATAGCCTTGTGAAAATAATTTCTATTAACATTTGCAAATAATTAACATCCTTGCAGTAAGACACTGAATAAAATTGCACTGATATGTGCGCACAAGCTGAAATTAAAAAGGTTCTGAAGATCCCCTTGTAGTATGCTGTGTTTCAATATGTATTTTCTTCATTTGAAAGACTAAACTTGGTCACATTCACACCAGGCAAGCCCTGGAAGGAGATGGTATATCCTGAAGCACTGTAATGAGGGGTTTGTGATTTTTAGCTCATGTTGATACAAAATGCTCTTCTACAGAGGAAACGTTTTGAAATGCAGTGCTAACAGCTATTATCTAGAGGAATGTTGGTACCTCTCACTGTTTGCAAAACATTTCCATTTCTTTGCAATTTCACTAATGGATCGAGAGAAATAATTGCAAAATTAGTGTTTAATGTGCTCAACAGTGCCATCCCTGAGAAGATATTAAAGTTGGAATGTACTGGCTTAGTGACCAACAGTTAGAGACTAACTTTTGATAAACATTAGTTTCTGTTATAGATCATAATATTAGTCTAGTAAAATTAAGGTATGGTAATTAAAGTTAAATACTTTTATCTTCAAAATTCCTAACCGTCCACCTCATAAACTTTTTATTTGCTTTGTAATAGCCAACACACACATAAATCAAGGAAGATAAGGGAACAAAGACTTTAGCTGAAACCAAATTACTTTTCCAGTAATGTGTTATTTTTGCATATGGACAGTAATTGTTTATCTGCTCTCCATAGCATGCATCAATAGTTAACATTCATCAGCGGCTTTCGTAAAACTATGAGTTTCTAATTAATACCATTGAGAGCAGTAGATCAGTTTATTTGCAAAAAATTGATACTAAAAAAGGTGGAGATTAAAAATTAATATAGAATGAAAATAATGTCACGTAGCAGTCAAAGCTTTTTGATAAATATAAAGCGACAAATTGAGAAACAATAAACAAACTTGAGAGCACATGTGTACTAGCTTCAAAATGAAGTGTATCTACCTTCTTAGTTCTGAGGACTTTTAACAAATACAGGGAGTGTGTTGAAAAAGTAAAGATGTGTTTTAGGATAAATCAACAAGCAACTAGAACACAGATTGTCCACAGTAACATTTCGCATTGTGCAAACCGTGTCACTGGAGCGGCAGCACAGCATTTCATGTGCCCTTTGCAGTGTGATTGCCTTTCCTTGGGAAAAAATAAAATGTTTATCTCTGTTAGTGTTTTAAAGTAAGGAAAAAAACGATTCACAAACACTGCAGAATCTAATTTAGAAGTTTGAAAGGAACAGTAATTTGGGTTTTCAGGAAGAAATACTTAGCTTAAAATGTAATGGGCAACAACATATGGAATAATTTGCTAAATAACGCCATCAAAGCAAATGGCATGAAAACGAGTTTGAGACAGATATTTCAGTAAGGGAAACATGGTATTGAAGTGCACAGCAGAGAAACACTTGATGAAAGGATAACCCTCAAGGGGACAGGCATGCTGGACCACAGGGCCTTTTCTTGCACAGCAGTTCTTTGTTTTGGTGTGAGAAAAAGCATTACAAAATAAAACCCAGAGAACTAGAAAAAGCAGAAGAGACATAGTTACCCTTTGGCAATACATTTTGAGGGTAAAACAAATGATATTTTCACTTTCGCATTTTTGAGCATTTGTGGAATTAGATGATTTGAGACCAGAGGTGACATAAGCAGAACAATGAAGCAGAGAGAAGCCTTCTGCTTGTTTCCCTCGCATCAGTGCCCTATTATCCAGGGACCAAAATAAGGAGTTAGGGAAGTTTCTTGTGAAGGTTTGGCAAAGAATTTATCTCTGTTTGGACTCCTTGTAGCTCATTCCATGATACAGCAAAGAAATAAGTTTTGTGAAGATGACTTGCTGTAAGGAAGCTTCATTTTCTGTTCCCTTTATTTGAACAGGAGAGTGATAGGAAACAGTCATTGTTTGATGAAGCTTTTCCTTTTTTTATCTGTTGAGCTTCCATGCTGTGTTCATTAGAGACTCCTTGTAATTGAATATATTTGGAAATGATCTGTGCTGTTTCTGAACGAGACTACCTTTGCAGAGGTAATTTGCTGTTCTCAGTTCCTTTTCCATGTGGATCTTGGACAAATGGTGAAAGAATATGACTGATGTTGAAGAGAAAGGGTCACTTCCATCTTTTTCACATGGTGGCCATCTCGGTAATGAAAAGGGATGGGAACTTGCAGGCAAGCAGCAGCTCTGAATTACCTTTCTACTAAAGTTTCCTGAATTCAGTACTTTTAATGGTACTGCTGTGCAAAGAGCGATGTGTGATTTTTAAGTTGGTAGAGTGGAAAATAAACTAGGTCAGCATAATGAAGCTGCAAAAATTGCGGTGCCTTTTATCCCAGAAAAATGAGGAGAGCACAATCACAGGCTGACCAGGAGCCTTCAGATCTGCTGGGGCCGGGTGGCAGTTGGGCTCTGTGGGCAGGAGGGACAATGACAGCTGTAGTTTCAGTTGGCTTCTGTGCATCTTTGATTCCTCTTGAGGAGAAGCTGGCCTGGCTGATCCTTGAGCTGTCACGGGCATGATGAGGGGGACTGTTGCTCCCAGGACCTCTAGTGCTTGAAACTGATTTCTTTTAGCATCTAGTTGAGAATTTGAGTCTTAGCAGACAGAAAAGATGAGGAGACCAGATCCTGGTTTTACTCACCATATGGATTCACCATTCGCTTCCGCAGTGGCACAATGGTACTTTTTCTACTTCCCTTTCTTACATATCGGCTCCTGAAATTGTGTGCTATAGGGAAAACCACTGAGTATTCTCGAGAACTGTTCACTGGGATTTTAGGATCTTTGCTGGAGCACTGCTAGCTCATCTAGAGCCCTTTAAAACGTGGGCATTGAGAGGTACAGTTTCCCAAGCACATTATTTTTGCATTTCTGGGCATTTGTTTTGCATCTGTGATTTTATACCCAGACTCACTATCATGAGATCTTTCTGCAGTTCTTCAAGGTCAGTTTAAAATTTGACTTGGGTTGTCTTAAGTCTTTGCCACTGTTACTCTCACAGCCTTTTCTGCGAGCTCCGAGAACTGCAGAGTGTGTTTGGTAGTGACCTCCAAACTATTTAGGGATTGAGTGTGACTTCAGTTTTTTTGCAACAAGGCAAGTTCCTATAGTATGCTGAGCCGTAATATGGCTTGAAACATGTCTTTTCTAGAACTTCCACTACATTCTGTTGCCAATTGAACAAGTCCTGAGTATTGACACTTCGGGGTAAACCCAGGGTCAGTGTCACTTTCTTTTTCACAGAGATGCAGGAGGGTGACTAGAGCTGGGAAATCAACTGAAATACTTTCATACACAATAAGTTCTGTCATTTTGGGGGGGAAAAAACATATTTTAGGTGGGAGTGGTGACCTTCCACTGTTTGTTTTCCATTCTGATTTTTAATCTAAACACTACAGTCCTACAGACTATGGTTTCAAAGGGAAAAAATAAGCAGAGAATATTAAGAAGCAATTAAGATTTTAGAGTTTAGCCAACAGCAACTTTTAAATGGGAACTAAATTATAGCCATTTCTCATTTTCAGCTAAGAGGAAGAAATTAATTCATGACTATAGCTGGAGAGTTTTCTTTTTCTTTCTTTTAAGCAGATACCATAATTCACCTTGAATTATTGCCACCATCAACATTGTGATCCTAAAGACAAAGCAGGAATATTGTATTGCATTTCTTATTAAATCAAGCTGTTTATACAGTGCTAATATGTTTACATTCAGGAGGGATTTTTGGAACAACACAGCTGCTGCCTTTCAAAGAGCAAGCAAGCTTGCGTTGCTTGTTTTATAGTCATGCGTGTATACGAG